GCAAATGATTTGTGATTTTTAAATTGCAATTCTTTGATGTTCATATTATCATTGAGCACATGTTGAACATAACCACAATGTATAGACTGTGGTGATTAACATGTAACCAGGATATGAATGAGTTCTTATTTCTTCCCTTGTTGGATAAACCTGTTTTAATTCTTTTTCTCCATAAATAAATCACACATTCAGTTGAAAAAAAAAGAGTGCAATCCATATTGCATCTCTGAGGACAAATGACAAAAGAGATCATTAAACCTTTCCTTGTTTAAAACCTTCTTGATTGCTTCAAGCCTATGCACATATGTCGGGTTTCTAATAAGAGATGTGCCTGACCATCCTTAGTAGACTAGAAAAGCAGGCTTAAATTAGCAGACCCATTTAACCTCAAAAACATTCCATTTTTTTCTCTCAGAAGAGATGTTTTTGAGCATCTGCTTGAAATAATCCATGGAATTTAAGAAAGGAGGATTGTTTTCTTTGCCCTCAAAAGTATATATAATCTTGCACAACAATCAATGAATACTTAAACAAAAAATTGAATTGGATGAAAATGTGCAACAGTGAATGAATGCATGAATGAATGAATGAAAAATCCAACTTTTCTGTAAACTTTAATTGAAACCACAATAAAAATGCTTTTTTAAAAGTATAATCTAAATCAATATATATAGTATCAATAAATATCAATAAATCAAATAAAGTATATCAATGCCTGTTCTCATATGTAAAGGTAAGAATAGACTTAAGGAAAAAAATAGATTGCCTTGATTATGTGATTATATATGTTAGAGAACAACTTAGCTGTTTTACCTACCCCAGTATTTAAGGTGTTTCTGTATTTTTCATGTCCTATCAGCTTCTTTATTTCTGAAATCAGTTAGAAATCCTTTTTCACAGTGTATTCTACTTTAAGCAGCTGGTGGATTAGAACTGTTTGCCTTGAAGTTGGCAGTGCAACTACCTGCCCACCAGGCCACCGGATTTCTATAACTTTGAAGAAGTTCATAAACATGCTTGTGGAATGTGAAGGTATTTAGGGTGCTGATAATCACATTGTGAAAAGGTTACACGTCAGTGGTTAGTCTGATGCTATAAAAGTATTCTGGCTATGCTGCAATCCCAAAGGCATGCAGTTCTAAATTGACCAGATGCTCCGTGGAGAAGCATCTCTTCCTGTGCCACTCAGGTCAGATCTGATTTAATGGTGCACAATAAGGGGGGGGGGCGGTAATCTGGCCACACAGTATGGGATTATAACCAAGCTTCTTGGTGTGCTTGCCTGCCAAACTACATTTTGAATGTATTTGCCAGCCTGATTAAAGGTATTGTCTTTCTCTTGGGGAAACAGTGTCTGTTTTGTTCTTAAAATAGTCTGACCTTGTTTAACAACGTATCTGTTTACAATTCCTTTCTCTTCCATGGCTTTCATTTGTTGCCACTTTCTAGGCTTTTTTGCATTGTCAGATTTGTTCAATGAAAAAAACTTTTATGTCTCCTAAATTTGGATCAACACATTCTTTGATCTGGTTCATTAATAAAACCAGTCAGTTCTCTTCTTCAAAGTCTGTATTCTTTTCTCCCCTCCACCATCTTTGTTTAGTAGGTGTTTTTTTTAAAAAAAAAAACACACAGAACTTTGGCACCAAAACAAGGTAAAGGTAAATAACCCAATTGAAAGATGGACACAGGATATGAACAGACACTTCACCAAAGAAGACATTCAGATGGCAAATACATGAAATGTTCAAAATCCCTTGCTCTAAGTGAGATGCAAATTAAAATACCTATGAGATATCATTTCACTCCAGTAAGAATAGCAAAATTTAACAGAACAGCAAGCAACAAATACTGGCGAGGTTGTGGAGAAACTGGAACCCTTATTCACTGTTGCTGGGAGTGTAAAGTGGTACAACCACTATGGAAGGTTGTATGGCACTTTCTCAAAAAGTTGCAAATAGAAATACCATTTGACCCAGCACTTCCACTACTGGGAATATACCATAAAGAAACTATAGCTGCCACCCAAGAAGATATATGTACACCCATGTTTATCGTGGGTTTGTTCACAATAGCAAAGAGTTAAAAACAACCCAAGTGCTCATCAACAAACGAATGGATAGAGAAGCTATGGTATATTCACACTATATTATGCTGCATTGAAAAACAAGGAACTCATGAAATATTATACAAAATGAGTGACCCTGGAGGACATTATGCCTAGTGAAATATCTCAGTCACAAAAAGACAAATACTGCATAATGCCACTGTTATAAAAGAGGACTGACATAGGGGTTGGGGGGAGACCGAGAAAGGGGATAAATAATGTATACTGCATTGAAACAGATGAGGGGGAGATCTGTTTAAAAGGGATATATGATTACATACTATTGTTATGACAGGAGAGTCCAGAATGAAGGCAGCATAGTGGAGTGGATTTGGTGGGAGGGATTGTATAACAATGAAAGAATTTTTCTTTTACTTTTCAAAGTTTACAGAGAAGTCTCTGTAAACTTTCATTAAAATTAATGGGGGAAAAAAAAACCAACACAGAACTTTGTAGACCTCTTTTTTCTTCATTGCTGTTGTGGTGTTCCCTTGAGTCCCTTCCAACTTCCAGCAACCTTATAGGACAGAAGGAGCTGTCACATAAGATTTGTAAGACTATAATCTTTACTTTTATTTTTTTTATTCTTTCACCCTTTCTTATTTTAATGCATTGGCTTTTTTCTTCATATATTTTGTTTACTTTCTTTTTAAAGTTAAAAAATATTGCAAATATCTTCCAGTTTGCTTGACTTTTAATACTATTCTCTTATAGAAAAATATTTCTCGGAAGAGTGAAGGGACAGAGAAAGAGAGGGAGACTATCACTGAGATGGATTGATACAGTGACTGGGGATGAGCATAGGTGTGTCAGAAACAGTAAAGTTGGCATAGGATAGAGCAGGGTCGCTATGAGTCACAAGCTACTGGACAACACATAACAGCAACAACATATAAAAATTAATTTTAATGTGTCTAGGTGCTGGGAATGAAGAGATTCCAAGTGATCACAGTGTATCTTTTGATGATATAAATGTTCTAAAATTGAATTGGAGAGATGGTCATTTAAGTTTTTAAATTTACAGAAAGCCTTTACACTGTTCAGTTAGTAAGTTGTTGGTATGCCTCCTACTGCTTATCAACATACTTCTTGATAAGAGGTTAGAATTTATGCCGTCAGTGTTTCAAATACCAGTAGGTTCACCCATAGTGGACAGGTTTTCACAGAGCTTCCAGACTTAAGATTATACAGGACGACCTGGCAATCTCTTTAGAATTAGCTGATGAAAAATACTATCAGTCACAATAGAATATTACCTGGTAGAGTGCTGCAAGAGGACACCTGTAGGTTGAAAGGACTCAGAATACATAGTGACTTCCATGACTGGGCAGCAGTTTGTTCTGTTGTATATTGTGTCACCATGAGTTGGAGGTGACACAGTGGCAACTAACAATAGCAACAAATTATATCTCATCTAAAGTTGTTGAAAAAATAATACATCACTGCTTTCCATTGTGTTCAGTTTTTTTACTGTCTTATTTATTTGGTGGTTTAATAGTAGAGATTTGAGTTTGAATCTAGAAAATAGGCATTTTATGTTCTGCTGCCACCACCTATCACTGGAGGCTTGCATGGTGTTAGGATGCTGAACACATTTTAGAGAAGCTTCTAGACTAAGATTGTCTTTGAAGAATGGCCTGGGGTTCTACTTTTGCAAATAAGGCAGAGAAAACCCTATGAGTCACAACAGTTTGATCTGCAGCTAATCATGGAGATGACACAGGACCGGACATTGCCTTGTCTGGTTGTGCATGGGATCATTCTGAGTTGGAACCAGCTTGAGGACAGTTAACAGCATTGTCAAAGGAATTTTCATTTCTTTCTAGTTATCTTAAAATTTTCTTTTTGCACCTTTAAGTTCTTAGTTTTTTGGGGAATTTGGATTGGGGGTATTGTTAGAGGTAGTGTAACAGTTTTATTTTTATCTCTATTTAGTGAGCTCCAGTGGCCTAGTGGTAAGAAGCTTCACTGAAATCCCAAAGGCATATGGTTCAAATTCACTGACTAGTTTCTCCCCTGTGCTAATCCTTTCCCTTACTGTTTTTAGCCTTGCTGGTAGAACTAGGTACAGATTAAGCAGGTGGTGATTTTTCTCTTAAACTAAGCATTGTGATCAGCTATGAGTTGGTTCTAATTTGGTGGCACATAACAACACTGTGTATTGTTAACATTTAAAATGCCAGCCTATATATATTTTAACTTAACTACATTTTATGAATTGTTTATAAAATTGTTGCTTCTCCTACCCTTATGGAGTTTTCTTGGAGGTCTGCTGCCACAAGATACTTTCAGTACTGCCTACTTTGGTTAATTAGTTTTCAGAGAATTGCCAGAAGTTCAAGCTGAATTTAGAAGAGGCTGTGGCATCAGAGTTATCATTGCTGATGTCAGATCTATCCTCACGAATATTGAGAAGAATGGAAATTCAAGAATACTTAATTGTGCTTGTGTGAAACCTATACCTAGACCAAGAGGCTATTGTCTGAACAAAGCAAGGAACAGTGTGTGGTTTAACATTAGGAAAGGTGTTGGTCAGGGTTGTGTCCTTTCTCCATACCTGTTTAATCTGTATGCTGAGCTTATTATTCAAGAACCTGCATTCCATGAAGAATATGGCATCAGGATTGGAGGAAGACTTATCAATAAGCTTTATTATGTAGATGACACAACTTTGCTCGCTGAAAGTGATGAGGACTTGAAGCATTTGCCTCAGAAGATCAAGGACTGCAACCTTCAATATAGATTACATCTTAACATCAAGAAGACAAAAGT